AAGTTATCCAGAAATTCCTCCAAGAGTTGTGATTGGTTTTGCAGGGGCAAGAACTTTCTTGCCTCCTTGGAAATGATGCCATCTTGCAAAGAAGAGCATAATGCTGTCTTAGGGCCTTTGAGATTTGTGGTCAATGTCAGATGCACACTTTTCTCCGAGAACAGCAATTCCATCTGCCTGAGGTCAAGCTCAGATACAGATTCTCCATTTATAATCAAAATTTCATTGCCAACACACAATCCTGGGAGCAGGAAAAAGCAGAAGACAAACAGGGTAGACACAACAGCAGGAGGGCACAATAAAACATATTGTAACAAACTGTTAGAAATGATTTTTTAAAAAAATCTTACCACATAAAGGTTTATGGAATGTATTGTGATGAAATAATAACTCTAACAAATGTTTTGCAAAAATTAAGATTTACATAAAGTATTCTGCTTGTTATAAAAGGAGCTAAAAGCACAATAGGAGAGTAACTTTNATTTACTCAGACTCAGCTTTGCTTTGCTATTCATCGTTTGTAATTAGTAAAAGTACACTTAATTCTAAACATGGAGTTGAGTTGTTTCTTTCTTGATTATTAAATGAAGGAGCACTTGACATTTTCAGTCATCCAGGTCACGGTTGTCCCAAAGGTGCTTTTTCAAGAGGCAACTGGACTTCTTTTGTTTTTCCTTGATGACATTTCGCTTCTCATCCAATTAACTTCTTTAGTTCAGTTCGGAAGAAGCTTCTTGGATGGAAAGCGAAATGTCTTCAAGGAAAAATAACAAAAAGTCAAGTTGCCTCTTGAAAAAGCACCTTTGGGACTAATTAATGAATGCAGATTTTCTTATATTCTTCATTTTAAAAATTCAGCAACAGGTGTCAAACCTTCCACATTTAGACCACAATCCTTTTAATATAGAGGAGACTAGAAAATGCCTTAAAAGACATAAGGCAAAAGCTATCTAGAAAAGCAGATCCCAGCAACTTTTCCATCAGGGATCAGCTTCAGACTATGTAACTGTAATTTGTACTTAAAACTCCAACCCATTCTTTTTCAGAGCATCAAAGATACTTATGTTCAAAGCATTTCAACTAAGCTTTACTATTTTAATGTCCAAAATACTTATTTATTTTTATATTTGAATCCCATCTTTCTTTTAGGAACAGAAGGCAACAAGCGTTCTTAAAGATCCTCTTCCACAGAGGCAGGATTTCTAGGAAGAAATCATTGACAAAAATCACATTTTAAAAGAATGAAAAGGTAGCTTATTTCCCCACTCAGCTAGAAAGCTGAAAAATGAAATATAGGAAAAATGGTGCTTATAAAAATAATTTTGTCCTTATTTGCAATGTAGGTATGGAAAAGCAAAGACAGGACATGTTTTAATGAAAACAAAACACAGTAGTGTTTAGTCAGTGTGCTTACACTGATAACATACGTCTAATAGCTTTATACTTTACAGACTTATTTCAATAAAGGATATTTGTAAGGGTTTAAATGAGGGGTCCTTGGTGGTCTATGAGCTTGGTTGTTTTCTTGCAGACGTTTCATTACCCAAACTAAATAACACTATCAGTTCTAGTGACTTGACTAGCACTGATGGGGTTACCTAGTTTAGATAATGAAACATCTGCAAGAGAACAACCAAGCTCAAAGGATTTCTCAGAGGCACGTTTGTTCCCATCTTTAAATTAATTTAATCTTTGCAATAATTTGATATGAAGATTAGGTGAAATGCAACAGAAGATTTGCCTAAGCCTATTTTCCTTGCCTAACATTCATAACACTTTTTTCCTTTTGGTCTATTGTGTCCAATTCTCAGAGATTATCTATAGTTTTCTTGGCAAGGTTTTTCAGAAGAGGTTTTAGGGATTTCAGAAAGTGACTGGCCTAAAATCACCCACTTAGATTTGTGCCCAAGGTACAATGAGAACTCAATCCCAGTTTCTAGCTTGAGGCCTTAACCACTACCCAAAGTGACTCTCTTAACATTCATAAAACATCTGCACCAAAGTTTTAGGTTTGCCAAAATTAGAAATACTTTTCTTCTTTAAAAAATTGTGGTAGAAACAAAATTCCACATAATTTTTAAAAGGAAAAAAGCCTGATTAAGTTCAAGTTCAATTTATATTTTCCAATTTCAAAATTAAGTGGCTAGATTTCTCTTCTCTGTTTGGTCTGCTCTGTAACTAATATCACAATACTTCATTCATTTATTGCTACGGACTTCTGACAACACATTAAGTTTTCCAGCAATTTATGCCAACTCTATAATGTGCCCAACATTTTGCTTGAAAAGCAGCCGGTTGTTTTATAACTTTCCTGTCTTTGTCTCCATTTTTATATGAAACACCTCAGAAAACCTGTGGGCTTCACTAAACCCATCTGGAAATGGCGAGTGGTTTAGCACGCTACAATTAATCATTTCTTTGAGTAAGTGAATGAGGCATTATGAAGCCTGCAGCAGCTCTTCTATATACAGCTATTTAATTCATTTAAGTACTTTTACAGCTGGAATGCCACGGCTTATTCATTTAGTAGACATAAAATGGGGCTAATTCAGTGAAGCAAGTGCCACAAATTTGGCTTCACATCAAGGCATTCTCACAATCGATGTATTTTCCTACTGTCCTTAGAAGCAAGACCATACAAGCAAGCATACAACAGCAAAGATACTTTCAATGGGACCATTTTAAATGCACACTTGTCCATCTTGCATAAAGCAATGCCATCGTATCCCACAGTAGAAGAACTTTAGATATGAAGGACTTATATTTAAAATATTTTTACTTACAAGGAAAGATTATTTTAAAAAATATAGGTAGTCCTCAACTTACAAACAGTTCATTTAGTGACTGTTACAATGGCACTGAAAAAAGTGACTTAGGACCATTTTCACAGTTATGGCTGTTGCAGCATCCCCATGGTCATGTGATTTACATTCAGATACTTGATAACTGGTTCATATTTATGATAGTTGCAGTGTCCAGGGGTCATGTGATCACCTTTTGTCACCTTCCAACAAGCAAAGCCAACTGTGTAACAACTGTGCTACTTACTTAACAACTGCTGTGTTTCACTTAACAAAGGTAGCAAGAAAAGTTGTAAAATGGGGGGAAATTCGCTTAACAAATTTCTCACTTAGTAACAGAAATTTTGGGCTCAATTGTGGTAGTACATCAAGAATATCTGTATATGTATAAGTATAATCTTTATTGTCATTGTAAAATACAACGAAATTGGTAGTATCAACTGGTAATTTTTATTTTTAATTATTATTTTTAATGTAGTTTAATGTAACAAAAGCACTGGATACAGAGGTATGTGAAGGGTATTTCTAGTCTTGGGGAGGGTTTCTAAGGGACTCAGGCCAAGCTTAGAATAAAATGGTAGACCAAATCACCAACTTATTACATCAGTAACATGATACTATCAGGTAACTAGGCACATTCTTAAAAAGGGCCTCATTTAATTTTTTATGTTGAAATTGATACTTTAAAGCCCTGAATTTCTTACAAGAATCTTGAGATTTTGCATGAGAATCTAGGAAATCATAGAAGAAAAAGTTGGCAACTACTGATTTATGATATCATTGAAGCATTTACTTATTAAGATTTGCAGCAACAATATTTGCTTTGAGCTGAAATGTCAGTTGTGCTCCTTCCCTTTTCCCATAGCTATTCATCTGCCCTCTTACTGGGAAGCCAGCAATTCCCAAGGCTTCACTACTGTAAAAACAGGGAATCCAAATGCTCTGAATCAGAACTTCTTTAGAACTGTAATGGAAAATGAGATCAGTGGGAGGAGTCAGTATCCACTGATTTAAATGCTTCGAGCACAATGAAGTGGCCCCTAACCAGAAGTTGTAGTTGTTCAAGAGAGTTTTGGTGTCATCCACTATCATACAATAGGAGTTGGCCAAGAAAATAAATCCACAAAATATATCATCTTCTCTATTCCTGGTTTACAAACCCAAAGGCTTGACATAAGGATCACTAGGCAGTATTGGCTTTAAATAAAATGAAAAAGGCATGCTTCATGTTTGTGGTCTGTGAAAGTGCACACTGTAATTATGTTAGGAAAAGATAAGGTAAAGGTTCCCCTCACACGTATGTGCTAGTCATTCCTGACTCTAGGGGGTGGTATTCATCTCCGCTTCAAATCCGAAGAGCTAGCACTGTCCGAAGACGTCTCCGTGGTCATGTGGCTTGCATGACTAAACACTGAAGGTGCATGGAACGCTGTTACCTTCCCACCAAAAGTGGTTTTTATTTTTCTATTTGCATTTTTACATGCTTTCGAACTGCTAGGTTGGCAGAAGCTGGGACAAGTAATGGGAGCTCACTCTGTTACGCAGTGCTAGGGATTTGAACCACCGAACTGCCGACCTTTCTGATCGACAAGTTCAGCGTCTTAGCCATTGAGCCACCGCATCCCTTAGGAAAGGATAGAATTATATTATATCTGAATAAAAGAATACAACCTACAACTACTTCCCAGTAGTTTGGGATATATGACTAATTAATTGTATTAAATAAATCACACATTTTACTGATTAAATATTGATGACTGGTATTCAGCCTGTGGGGACTTTTTTTAAAAAGTGAATATTCCTATTCCAGCATAGGAATATCATTTCTGTAAAGGAAAAACATAAGAGCATAGAATAACAGAGTTAGAAGGGACCTTGGAGATCTTGCACCCCAATCCCCTGCTCAGGGAGGAAGCCCTATACCAGTTCAGCCAAACTATCCATAATATTTCAGGAATGTTAATGGAGCCAATTAATGTGACAATACTGTGAATGGCAGGAAATGCAATAATTTATTTAACAACCCACTACAGAAGCTTGTATAGAAAAGATGAAGTATTTTCCCTCTGATTACGACTCAAATCAAGTAAGAACAAGTCCTTACTGGTTTTTTGTCATATATTTATAACATCTGCAAACACATTAACTTCCACATTCAGGTGGAAGTTAAATTAAATGTGTTGGATTTTATTATATTACCTCAGCAGAATTACTGTAATTATGAGGTAGCTGTGTTCCAGGAATTCCATGTCCTCCAGTTGAGTCAAAAATCTAATTAAAGAAAACATACGTTAACATAATGCAAACATTTCATAGCATTGCTGTTTCACTTGCATACAAGATTTCTCTCTCTCTCACACACACACATACACACACATACACACACACACACATACATATATACCCCTGGATGAGATGCCTGGGAATATATGGATCTTTCCTGAATCTTTTCCCTTGCATGGGTAAAAAGGTGATTTTAAAAATATAGGTAGTCTTCATTTAGCAACCACAATCACTAAGTGAAATTGTGACTGTTTTTGCAATCTTACTTAAGCTTTCCTTTGCTGTATAGGTATGTGAAGGTTGTAAGTGCCGGCATAAGTGACACCTTTTCATTATCATAATTGCCAATGGTCACTGTCCAAGGAAGTCATTAAGCAAGGCCTATCTCTACATTATGAAGGCAAAGACTTAAATGTATGGCATATTTCTGTTTCATTAAAAATAAAGATGTTAAAGATAATGTGAATAACAGTACTACAAATGGTCTTAAAACAATGCAAAAATATCTATTTCTGTGAAATGAGAAAATAAAGGTTTTTTTTCTGTTTTAATCTAGTAAATGACAACCAAGGATTAGCACATTTTTGATTGCCATTAAAGTACTAATTCAGCAACTGAAAACTTTTTGTTGTCATACAGTTACAAGATTCTGAAAGACATAAGCTTAATTGATTACGCTAACGTCCAAACAAGTTATTCTTCAATATTTAAGTTCAACATTTTTACTGTGGAGTCTTTAATGCTCTCTGAGCTTGGTTGTTTGCTAGCAAATATTTTATTCCCTGATTTTGTTCCCCATTTATACACAACAGCTTCCCCTAATATGTTAGTGAGGATTTGTTTTTTCCTTGATAGACCAGAATTTTTTACTTTCATAAACTGATGAAGGCAGTTTGAAGATCCATTTGTTTGTTTCCTTGGCTCACAAGTCTTTTCCAGCACCAAAGTTCAAAAGTGTCATTATTCTTTCTATCCTGTTCTTGAAAGTCCACTTCAAGAAGATATAGCTTCATTTTCAAGAGAATTCAATGCTGGCTGTTTTTTTATTGCATGACTAACACTTAGTGGCACACATGTAAGATTTCCAAGCTGTAACCACATTTAGAAATAGCTATGCTCAAAATTCTGTATTCACTTCATCATTCTGCCTTCTCTGATTTTGGGAATTTGAAAGGGGGGAAGTCTGTTGTTTGTACTAACCAAGGTTTGCCACAATTCTGGTAAATACTGAGGGCTAAATTCATATGAAATATATTTCTACTGAATTATTATTCCACAAAAAAATGTCATCTACCGATAGACTGCTGCAGTTACTTTTCTCATAGTCTTCAAAAACCATTTTTTTGATAAGGAATATGTGAGAGGCAACCAAAAAAACGATAAAACTGTTATTTCTTGATAAACTTCTGACAGCTCTTTAGTATCTTGCTAAACATCTTAAGATATGGAACTGGTCTTATGGCTTCTAACTGATGCATGTACTTGTGACTGTTTAAATGAACATCATGCAAAACAGCCATGTCTCAGTATCTTTGGCTTCTCTTATCCTCTTCAATTATGCAACATGTCCACTATCTTGGACTAGTATATTATTTAGTAACATATTGATATTATAAAATGTTTCTATCTTTAATGAGAATGGACTAATCAATTTTGATGAGTTTGATTCACCAAGAAGTTTACAGTTATGGTATTTTTTCCCCAGTTGTATTTTGGCATGGCATGATACATGCCACTACACTTGTTTATATTTGCAACATTTCCCCTATATTCTTTTTAAATTGTCTATGAAATCATCTAGCCACCCAAAATATATGTTTGATATCACAAATATCCTTAATGGGGAAACTGGCACTGACTGGTGCTTATAAATGTTGTATCCTACACACTATACTATGTACTACACTGTAATATGTAGCACACTGTACTACACACACTATGCTTTGGTTTGATAAAGTTTACACTTATTCACACAAAAAGATCAATACATTAACCATGGTTTATTTTAAACCTCAGATTTAAAATTGACCCTGCCTCTTCCTCTGACAGCAGTTTCCCTCAGTAATATCACCTACAACTATCTGACTGATCAGTGGAATGAGTTGCCCCAGGGACTGGCAAATTTTTCTATTTACTCCCAGCAACCCAATGCAAATTCTACAAAATAAAAGGAAAGAAACTCCAAGAACAGATCTAGCAAGTCATTGCTAGTTTTCCTCATCTGCAATATTGATTCTGGCTTGGTCAAAATATCATAGTTGATAAAAACATTGGCTTTAATATGTGAAAATAAATCTATTGATTTTCTGCATGGTTCTATTTGCGAAGATTTAGTACACCATAAAATGTAAGTTATGTAGCCTTGATGCCACTGGCAAAGCATCAACAGGCATTGGAACGATTGCCAAAACTTCTAAATGTTCATTGATACGAACCAAGTGAGAACTACCTGGGTTATAGAAGGCCTCTTCTCCTTTGCCTTTCTTGCAAGGGTATCCAGTCCCTTCAGGGAGGAGAACAAACCCTTTTTGCTCCACAGTCTCTGTGACAGAGACCACGTTCTCTTTCTGAGAGCTGCCTCATCCCTGGAACAGATCTAATTTGGGGGAATAGGGGAAAAGAAACAGAATGGAAAGTCAGAGGCAAGCATTGAACTGTAGAGTTCTTCATATCTCTTCTCAGAAAACAAGACAGTAATCAAGATCAGTCATATGAAGTAGAAGACAAAAGATACGATTCAAAATGACTTATCTTCACTGTTGTGATGACTTCTACAACACTTCCCTTTACTGGAACAGATAAGGAGAAGGGGGAATGCAAGTTCTTGGGAGATGGCAATTCTGCTATCTTTTAGCATAAATACGGCAATTGAAGTTCCCAGAAGCCCTTCTCTCAGCATGGGAGAGAATTTAATCAGTATGATAGTTACATATCTCTGTCCCAGGCCAGCCAATTGAAGTTCTCTGTTTTATCCTAGTCTGGTGTGGGTGAGATGATTGCATAACCAAAAAACAGGCTCCAATTCAACCCTGAAAAGACACAGCTCTCACCTGCCCACCCCCCAATCCCAGATTCTAGTTCTATAGATTTTCCACCCATAGCTGTATGTGTTGAGAGAGAGAGAGAGACAGACAGACAGACAGACAGACAGACAGAAGACAGACAGACAGACATCTTATAATCACTCATGGTCTAGGCACCTCTCAGAGATATTTCTGCAAGGCACTCTAAATGGGATTGATTTCAAACCCAACCCAGAACCAAACTTGGTATACAGATGACTTACTCTCTGGAAACAAATACTGTATGGGTAAGACACCCTTAATACCGCTCAGGGTGTGTGTTCTGTTATGATACAGCCTGTTGTGCCTTCAAATGGCTTCTACTGTACTGCTGTAAAATGGCTT